CTGAGCAGATTTGGTGGCATGAAGGCTCTGGGCTGAGACCTGACTCCAGGGAGGTGGGAAGGCAGACACCCCAGGAGGTGTTGCAGCCCTTCCTTTGTCACTGCACCTGCAAGCAGCCTCAGCAGGTTACCCCCTCCCCCGAGAGACTCTGGTGGCAGAGAGTCCCCAAGCCCAACAGAGACCCTCTCCCATCCCAGCCCCCATCTTCTACCATACCTCAGGGGTGTACAGGATTTTACAGTTTACAAAGGGCCCCACATGCAGAATCTCATTTGAGCCACACAGCAGCCCAGCTGCGTGTGGGGTGGAGGTGAGGGTAACTGCCGCATTTTCTGCAGAGAAACAGGAAGCACAGATTGGAGGAGCATCTGTTAGAAAGTCTCAGGCCCTGGACCAGACCGGCTCCACCACTGGGGTGCCGGCAGGGGCCCAGCCTGTGTCCTCCGTTCCCATTCACACTCCCACATGCTCCGGTTCCTCTTCAAGGAGGGCAGGAGTGACTGTTCCCTGGTCTCAGCCTGGCTTTGCACACAAGAGAGGATTACCAGCACTGTGATATAAGAAGACATATATGTTGGCTGGGCGCAGTGGCTCACGCTTGTAATCCCAGCACTTTGGGAGGCTGAGGCGGTGGATCACTTGAGGTCAGGAGTTTGAGACCAGCCTGGCCAACATGGTGAAACCCTGTCTCTACTAAAAAGACAAAAAGTTAGCTGGGTGTGGTGGTGTGCACCTTAATTGCAGCTATTTGGGAGGCTGAGGCAGGAGAATTGCTTGAACCCTGGAGGCAGCGGTTGCAGTGAGCTGAGATCATGCCATTGCACTCCAGCTGGGTGACAAGAGTGAGACTGTGTCTCAAAAAAAAAAAAAAAAAAAAAAAGACATATGCCTCTGGTCTTCATCCTGGTTTCTGGCCCAGAACTAAAACTCTTAAAATTTCCTCAGTGATGGGGAGAGAGGAACATCTTTTGTTATTCATAATAAGTCTCTTTTCATCACCTCAGAGTTCATGCTAATGAGCTGACTCTTGGAGGATGGGGCTGGTAGCCAGAGGAACCAATCACGTGATTAGGGGATTGCAACTTTCCTCCCTACCCGAGACCTCCAGGCAGGGCAGAGAGGCTGGAGATTGAGCCAATCACCAGTGGCCAATGATTTGAGCAATTGTGCCTAATGAAGCCTCCATGAAAACCCTAAATAATGGGGTTTGGGAAGCTTCTAAGTGAGTGACAGCACCCACATGCCAGGAGGGTGGCTCACTCCAACTCCACTGGGACAGAAGCTCCTGTGTTTGGGACCTGTCTGAACCTCGCCCTCATCACCTGTTTGTCTATATCCTAAGTAACATCCTTTATAAACCAGTAAATCTAAGTAAATGTTTCCCTGATTTTTTTTCTTTTTTTTTTCTTTTTTTTTTTTTTGAGACGGAGTCTTGCTCTTGTTGCCCAGGTTGGAGTGCGATGGCGTGATCTCGGCTCACTGCAACCTCCACCTCCAGGGTTCAAGTGATCCTCCTGCCTCAGCCTCCTGTACAGGTGGCCGCCACCACGCCCAGCTGATTTTTTTGTATTTTTAGTAGAGATGGGGTTTCACCATATTGGCCAGGCTGGTGGTCTCAAACTACTGACCTTGGGATCCACCTACCTTGGCCTCCCAAAGTGCTGGGATTACAGGCGTGAGGCACCTCGCCCGGCCCTGATTTTTTATTTTTTTTTGAGATAGGGTCTTGCTCTGTCACCCCAGTGGCGTGATCTCTGCTCACTACAACCTCTGCCTCCTGGATTCAAGCGATCCTCCTCCCTCAGCTTCCCGGGTAGCTGAGATTACAGGCACCTGCCACCATGACCAACAATACAGTAATTGTTGTATTTTTAGTATAGACAGGGTTTCACCATGTTGGCCAGGCTGGTCTCGAACTCCTGACCTCAAGTGATCTACCTGCCTCAGCCTCCCACAGTGCTGAATTACAGGCATGAGCCACTGCACCAGGCCTGCTTCCCTGATTTTTTTGAGATATTATAGCAAATTATCAAAGCTAAGGAGGGGGTTGTGGGAAACTTCCAAATTTGGGCTGGTCAGATGTACAGGTGACAACCTGGGACTAGATCTGGCATCTAAAGCAGAGGCAGTCTGCTGGGACTGAGCCCTTAACCTGCGGGGTCTGTGCTAACTCCGGGTAGTGTCAGAACTGAATGTCAAGACAGCTGGCTGGTGTCTAGAGAGTTGGAGAATTGGTGTGGGAGACCCCTCCCCACTAACACTGGTGTCAGAAGTATTGGGAATGCAGAAAGTTTTTCCTTGTTAGGGATCCAGAAAGACCTCTCACACCTGGGTCCCCAGGAAGGCAGCTGGGAGGGCAGGAGGCGCTGGCTTCAGAGAGCCAGGGAGGACTGGGAAGTGCAGAACGGGTGTGTGGCTCAGCAGTCAGGGGCAGCAGCATTCTCCTCCCCAACCTCTTCACCCAAATGCATGGCTGGGCCTCAGCACCACATGAAGGTGCCACCACCAGCCCTGAGAGCCACTGGCATTCGTGCAGAGCTTCCCTGGTGTTGCGCCAGGATGCAGGACTGGGGTGAGGGGCTCCAAGCCAGTGTGGAGTAGGAAAGCCCTGGGCAGTCATCAGCGAGGTCCTTCTAGCCTGGGCTAAAGTCCCATCCCCAGTCCCACTTTCTTCAACTCTTCCTTGGAAGTCCAGAGGTGCCACACACACCTGCTAGCCACACACATCCACGAAGTCCCCAGGGTCCTGGCTGAGACTGGGCAGACCCCTACTGGCCACAATGTGGGGATGAAGTCACCTACCCACAGTCACTGTGCTGAGAACCACACTCCAGGGACCAGCATGCACTAGAAAAATGTCACACAGGAATACACACTCAGAGGGCACTCAAGAAACATTTATTGAGCACCTACTATGTGCCAGGCCCTAGGCAGGACACTTGGAAAACAAAGTCAATACAACCTGGTCCCTGCCCAGGAGCTCACAGTCTAGAGGGCTAAGCCATTAATCATGGAACAGCAAAGGTGCATTTAGCTTCACAATTTTACAACAAACTTTTACATACATTTTCTCAAGTGTAAACACCCAGCAACACAGTCGTGTGGTTTTAAAAGCACACTGGCATAAATGTAAACACAAGTCACAGGATTGAAAGGATGGGCGAAAACCATTTGCAATATTTGTGCTTGCAGAACCAAATTTTTAGCATTATTTCTTCCTATCAGGTAGGATACAAGTTTTGCCAATCTTCGGGTAACCGTGTTTGAGACATGGGAGTTCTGTGGCCTGCCTGCCATCATGCAGTGGGGAAGCCACCCTAGGTACAAGGTGTCCTGAAGCCCTGGCCACTGCCTTCTGCCCACCATACCTCACCGTCTTTTAATCTCCCCTGGACAAAGACCCTGTACATTTTTTTTTTTTTTTTGAGACAAAATTTGAGACAGATCTGTGAGCATGCAGCACACACTGCCCAGGCCCAGGCTGGAGTGCAATGGCAAGATCTTGGCTTACTGCAACCTCCACCCTCCAGGTTCAAGCGATTCTCCTGCCTCAAGCTCCCAAGAAGCTGGGATTACAGATGACTGCCACCACACCCAGCTAATTCTTTGTATTTTTAGTAGAGGTGGGGTTTCACTATGTTGGCCAGGCTGGTCTGGAACTCCAGACCTCAGGTGATCAGCCCACCTCAGCCTCCCAAAGTGCTGGGATTACAGACAGGACCCAGCACACCTGGCTGACCCTATACATTTTTTGGCTCCTCCTGAGCTTGTCAGATGGGGAGAAGGGACCATGTCCCAGGAGCCCACCAAGCTGTGAGATCCCTCATGGGTACATGGCTGGCCCATGGCAACACCCTATCAGGTGAGCATGCAGCACACACTGCCCAGGCCCGGACCCTGCTTGCCTGAGATGAAATCCCTGGTCAATCTCAAATCTGGTAGTGTTGGCGAGGTGTGGCAGCTCACACCTGTAATCCCAGCACTGTGGGAGGCTGAGGCAGGAGGATCACTTGAGGTCAGGGTTGGAGACCAGCCTGGCCAACATGGTGAAACCCTGTCTCCACCAAAAAAAATACAAAAATTAGATGGTCATGGTGGCGGGCACTTGTAACCTCAGCTACTCGGGAGGCTGAGGCAGGAGAATCACTTGAATCGGGAGGCCAACATGGCGAAACCCCATCTTTACTAAAAATACCAACGATTAGTTGACATCGCACCACTGCATTCCAGCCTGGGCGACAGTGCGAGGCTCCATCTCTAAATAAATAAATAAATAAATAAATTTGGCGGTGTCAGTATCCTACAGGAATAGCTACCCTCCAAGTCTCACCTGTGCCCCCACTTCTCCTACATGCACATTTGTCCACAGGTGCCGAGATGCACGGTCTCGCTTCCCACACCTGCCAAAGTGGCCTCCTTGTGGCCCAGGGAATGGGGGAATCCAGCAAACATCTGGGTTTAATTAAGCCAAGGGGTGGGTGGATGATGTTGGATAGCTGAGGGTGCAGGCCTGCAGGGCTGTACAAGGCAGGGCTGAGTTTAGGACCCCTGTGCTCCCTTCCCCGTCACGCGGAAAGGGAGGAGAGGCATCTTCCCACCTTTGGTGGGAGGCTCGCTACCACCATTTCACTTTAGAAAGCTCAAGATAATTCCCAGCTTCCTGGGTGTGAGCACCCCTGGGCTTACACAGTGGCCTCTTTTGGACAGAGGCCTACCAGGTGAGCCAGAAGGTACAATGTTCAAGAAAATTGCTTCTGACCCCATTTCCAGAGCAGAGAGGAAGGGCGGGGGTGAGACGCCTGCAGGTGACTGATAGCACAAGTCAGCCCTTGTTCCCCCGCCCCGGAGAAGCCTGCCCCGGCGCTGTCCCACCTTCGGGGGAGGTGGCTCCCTGGCTTCCCCCAGGATCACCTTCCAGCCCCCCTGCTCCTCAGGGTTGCTCTAGGTGGCCAGGTATCCTGCTAGCAAACCCCTTCCCCCAATGATGGCCCAGACGGAACTCTTAATAAAAAAAAATAATTTATTGTCAACAAAGGTGATATATACAACAGGAAAACAGATGAAAAAGAGAATGGGAATGAATGGGGCACCCAGCCAGGCAGCCTCAGGCCTCTGCAGGGTTGGGACAGGAAGAGGTAATGGAGGCTTCCTGGTTTAGGAGCCTGAACAAGTGGGGAGGGGAAGCGTCCCCCGAGGTAGTGGGACTCAGTTCAAACCCCCTTATGACCACTCTTGTGTAAGGCACTGTGCCAAGGGAGAATGGTGGGGAGGCGGGGGAGGGTGTCATGGGGGACAGAGAGAGGTGGGGGTCAGCGAAGGACTGGGGTAGGTGTTCTCCACAGGCCCAGTGCCCTACTGCACGACAGCCTCAGCCACCCTCGCGGACCTCGGGCCTGGCCAGGAGCAGACACTTTCCAGTGCCTCAAAATAACAATGGACGCTGCCCAGCCCCCTCCTGCCCTGGTACCTGTTTCTACTCTCTCCACCAGGTGGCTGAGCTGGGCAGCTCTGAGTTATAAGCCACAGGGGGACACTGCTGCCTCCTCCCTCCCTCCCTCCCTCCCCTCCCCAGGAAAGCAAGAATCTACACCCCATTCCCTTTCTCTGGCTTCCCCGCCACAGTAGTGCTGGATTCCGACAGAACTGTGGGCCAGTCTGGGGTGTCACCTGCTCCCACACGCTTGGTGCCCTGGGGGTGCCTGGACCAGTCTTGCAGGAGGCTGACCGCCGGGGGCTCCTCCATCCGCACGCGGATAACCTGGAGATCCAGTGTCCCGCGGAGCCCTGAAGGAGGAGCTGGGCAGGGATGAGAGCAGAGAGCAGAGTCAGGACGCCCCCAGACACCCCACCATGAGGATGCTCCCTGGAAGCTCTGCAAACTGTATCCCCATTTCCAGGGCTTTATGTCCACAGCCCAGTGCTTAGCATGAGGGGAAGTCTAAGGATGGCAGGGAGCTCCACTCCTGGCTGATCGAAGACTGCTGCCAGCCAGAAAATGAGGCTCACAGCCTCCCTAGGCACGAGACAGATGAAGCTAGGCAGCCTTCCTCCTGTGTGTATTTTGGCACAGGGACGCCTGGTGCTGTGTGCCTCTCCCCCAACTCTTACCTGCAGCCAATTCCATTTCATCTCAAGCTTACTGGGCATCCTAGCTTAACGGGTTCTGTCTGAGTAGGGCAGAAGTGCAGGGGTGGGAACACCCAGAAGCAGTCTAAGGCATAGCTGTGCCCACCAAAGAGCTCATGAGGGACTACACACAGCAGAGAAAAGTGCCCTGGTGAGTGCCCAGCTCCACACTGCAGCTTCTGCCAGGGTCTTTATCTGCTAAGCATCAACACCTACATCGCCAGGATCTGGCACCCGCCTTAGCATTATGGAGAAGCCACTCCTAATGAGCAAAGCTAGGCCTTGAGACAAAGAAAAGAGGGCTGCTGTGGGTAGCGTGCAGCCACAAAAAACGAGCATACAACAGGGATATGTGCAAAAGTTACATTACACTGGGGCCAGGAATAGTGGCTTACACTTGTAATCCCAGCACTTTGGGAGACCAAACTGAGCAGATCACTTGAAGTCAGGAGTTCGAGATCAGCCTGGCTAACCTGGAGAAACCCTGTCTCTACTAAAATACAAAGAAATTAGATGGGCGTGGTGGTGCATCTCTCTAATCCCAGCTACTCAGGTGGCTGAGGCAGAAGAATTACGTGAACCCAGGAGGCTGAGGTTGCAGTGAGCCAAGATCACACCACTGCACTCCAGCCTGGGCGACAGAGCAAGACTCCGTCACACACACATAAAAAAGTTACGTTACATTTAAAGGCAAAAACAGAAAATGGTGATTGCAACTACTGCCCCGACTATATTGGGAAGAACTCATGTGTGTTCCTTTTCTATCTTGTTTTTAGAGACACAATTACTTAAAACATGGCAGAGAAAACAGGTACAATTTTGCTGTGCAATGTTCTGGAATTAAAAATGACTTAGTGGTTGCCACCAAATTTTTATCACCTACCAAATTCTATTCTGTGTTCCCAGAAGCCGGTTTGTTTCTCTGACAAACTATAACCTCCCTAAAGGAACCCTGAATTCCACTTGTTCATTAATTCAACAATAGTTTATTGAGTAACTGTGACATGCCCAATGCTCTTCAGATTGCCAGGGGTACAGCGGTGAATGGAGCTGCCTCAGTGGCCTTCTGGGACTTCACGTTCTAGTCATCAAAGCCAATAAATCGGATAAACAAATAAAAAATGCAGTATGTTATATATGGCCAGACACAAAGATGAAAAGTACTCCACGGAAAGGAGAGAGGATAGCAGAGAGCTGACAGGGGACCAGAGACACAGAGGCAGTGAGGGGTCAGCTAAAGACAGGTAGGGAAACAGCATTTTCAGCACAGGGAAGAACAAATGTGGGCGCCCTAGTGGAGCACACTGGCTGTTGCAGGAACAGCAAGGACAGTGCCCACACAGGGAGCGGAGTGTCGGGGAGAGGTCAGGAGCCTGGGAGGAGGCTCACTGGTCACCAAGAGGGCTGTGAGTAGGGGAGTGACTGGATCTGACTTGTGTTCTCAGCAAGGACACTATGGCTGCTACAGGAGGGCAGAGCATAGCGGGCAAAGCTCAGAAGCCAGGAGACCTAGCTTAGGTTTGTTTCAGGAACCAGGAGAGAGCCAGCCTGGAGTAGGGTAGCAGCAGTGGATGTGGTGACAGCAGCGTGAGCTCTGAACTTGTTTTGGAAGACTGGCTGCTGGACTGATGCTGGGTTGCAGAGAGAAAGAAGAGGGTGACTATATGGGTGTGGCCACAGCAAATGAAGGCTGGGGCTGTTTACTGGGAAAGGGAAAATTGTCGAGGCTAGGGGTGGGGTGCATTGGGGAGACCGGGGGTTCAGTTTCAATGTGCTGAGTTTGACATTTTTTTTGAGAAACAGTCTCTCTCTGTCGCCAAGCTGGAATGCAGTGGCGTGATGTTTGACATCTTTTAGACAACCATGTAGAGGTGCCACCTGGGCAACTGGAAAAGAGGATGGAACCAGGAAGGAGGGGCCCAAAGTGGGTGTTACGAGCACACAAGGCATTGAAAGCTGTGAATCTGGGTGAGACCTCCCAGGGAGCAAGGTCTGACAATGGCCCATGGCTGGGAATATTTAAGCACTTATTCCTTCACCAAACACATAAGCCGGGCCTACTCTGTGCCAGGCACTGTTTTGGCTCCTGGGGACATCACAGTGTAGGACTCAAAAACCCTAACCTGCAGGCCTTTACATTCTAGAAAGGGAAAGGCAGACAATGATATGACGTGTTTCCAACTCTGGGAGCTGAGGATGAGCAGCAAGAGAAACTGAGAAGGAGCAGCTAGTGAGGGAAGAGGAAACCAGGCGAGTAGCTGCCTGAAGAGCCAAGGGAAGAAAGTTGTCTCTAGGAAGGAGTGAGCGATGGGTCCACTGTAACCGCTAGATCAGAAAGAGAAAGACCAGGCCGGGCACGGTGGCTCAAGCCTGTAATCCCAGCACTTTGGGAGGCCGAGGCGGGTGGATCACGAGGTCGAGATCGAGACCATCCTGGTCAACATGGTGAAACCC